GCAGCCTGGAAGCTGGTGATGTTAACCCTTTTGCGGTGACGTTTTTCGTGTTTGTTACCCAAACTATACGAGGGGTACTTTGAAGGTCAGGTAGTTCCAGCAATGCAATTCTTTCTATCGATTAGAACATTCTGATCTACCATGATTCTCCGGATGATTCTAATTTCGAGGATAGCAGAGGGGAAAATATTCCACACCATACCATAGTAGTGACTATTCCATCTACTTCTCAGCAAGTAGAAACAGGGACATCGCACCGAGAAGCGGCGGGGTCCAGACTCCCGAATCTTTTTTATCGAACTGTCTCGAAAGATCCTTACCATAGTGGGGGAACTCCTAACGAGATATCTAGACTTCTTGCATAATCCCACGCAGACACTCTAATCCAGAGCTGATTGTCTACGGATCTGCCCGGCATTCAGGCCAGGAAATCGCTGTTATTGGGCCATTCCCTGCTCAGAACGGAGCGTTAGGCTGATGAATCTATGGCAGATGATATATCACACCTGTCAAAGCAAGTATGCAAGTCATGCACATTCACACCTGAGTAGGTTTGAGTCTATGTAGGTCCCTCGATCAGGTATGCAATATCTAGGAAGAGACTAGTTGATGAAGGACGGAAGGGGAAATGAGCGCAATTGAAGGCCATAGCCCATTCTCCACCACTGACAGTCCAAGGGGAAAAAACCCTCATATAGATGGCCGTCCAGTTGGATCAAGATAAGACTGATGATGATATTAACGATGATGCCCAAGGCACAGAAGCCTCCGGAAACCACCCCCTCCTTCGTCGTCTTCGGCTTCATTCATGCGCTTTTGAGTTCTTTTCTACCTTACCAATAAATCTCGGTTTGACTCTTTTCTCTCACCTGGAAGATCCCTCCCCCTCTTGTCCCTCTCCTACCCAAGAAAAGCCCAGAATGTTCTTTCCTGTCCCATCATATGCCTCAGCCTAAACATGCAGGTTCCATGGTCCAATCATCAACGTCATGATCCCATTGTTTATTCAAGATGCTGCGAGGATGTCTAAAGTCACCGGGAATTTCAGGATGCATTGATTTTGAGTGACCCGCAGAAACATATAGACAGCCATTCTTTTCTCCCATCAGCATCACCAACTTCACCTAGTCAAACCATCAGTGCCATCCATCATCACCACTCATCCTTTGGTCCGCAGCCCCCTCTCTCCGTACATCATCCGTTTTCCTCTTTGCCCTGAATTCCTCGAGCTTGAATTACTACCTAATAGTGGTTGACTCCCATTAGACTCTTGGATACGCTGCAGATAAAAACTTTCTTTGAGGTGTTGGAGAGGTTTTCAGGCTTCTCCTCCTGCCATCAGAATCAATGACGGTCTACATCGCCTCACTGTAAGTTGTGCCCCTCATTGTTGCTTGCCTTAGCTTCAGGTGGTTAGCGGCCGTGATAATCTTACATATCACATTAGCTTCCTTCCATACACCATTGACTTCCAAGCCACCGAGCTGAGGCATGCTCGTCGCAAGTCATCCACCAGCCACACTCCAATAGACGACCATGTTATTGGACGGCTGGCAGAGGCGCGTCAGAGACGCCACAACAAGTCGCTCAGTCTTTCCTTGACTCCTGGTGCGACTACGGATGATGAGAAAATCTTCAAGCCGTATGTCTCTCGGTCAGCGGGCGAGATACCCCAGGCAGATGATCCCAACGGTCCTGGACTTAGCGAACCCAGAACCATTTCTTGGGGTCAGAGTCGTAAATTTAATCAGCCACGATCCACGGCTCATGTTCATCCCGAACCATCAATCTTAAGAGCGTCAGATGCTGGGGATGACCTAAACAGCCAGCTCTACGATGGAATTTTAGAGACCCCAGATTCAGAGGAGGATCATGGAAGTCCCCGTGCGTTACTATGTGTTGATGACTGGGTTGTCAAAGCGGCAGAACAAGGCAATGGTGGGCTGCGCAATGCAGTCTATGCAGCCGAAGAAGCCGGTATTCTGACAGACAAGATGTGGGTGGGCACACTAGGCATGCCTACCGACTTGTTGAAGGATGCGACACGCGCCAGCATTTCCGAGACCCTCGAAGATGAGTACGAGTCGTTGACGGTATTTGTACGCGATAGCGAGTTCGACGGCCATTATGCCCATTTTTGCCGTTCAGTTTTGTGGCCAGCCTTCCACTATCAGATGCAGGAGAGCCCCCGACACACTGAATACGACGACTATTCCTGGAAACAATATGTCAAAGTCAACGAAGCGTTTGCCAACACCATCGCTGCACGATGGCGTCCCGGGGATAGCATTTGGATCCATGACTACCATCTTTTACTTCTTCCACAGATGCTCCGACAGCGGATACCCCAGGCAGAGATTGGGTTCTTCATGCATGCTGCTTTCCCGTCTTCCGAGGTGTTCCGCTGCTTGAATCCGCGCGATGCACTACTGAACGGCCTGCTCGGCTCTGACTTTGTCGGCTTTCAGACAGAGGAGTACTGTCACCACTTTCTGCAGACATGTAGCCGTCTTCTCAGTTTAGAAGTCACCGTTGGTGGCGTTCAACTGAAAGACCGCTTTGTCCGCGTCAAGAGTATTCCTATCGGAATCGACGCCAACGCCCTTGATGACCTACGCCAGACCAACGAGGTAAAGGACTGGATCGCGAATATTTCTTCCAGGTACAGCGGAAAACACCTAATTGTCGCAAGAGATCGATTGGATGCGCCGGGCGGGATCAAGCAGAAGCTGTTGGCATACGAACTGTTCCTGAAGAAGTATCCCAAGTGGAGGGAAAACGTAAGTTTCCATTTTCTATTTGAGCCATGAACCGACGTACTAATGAACACAGGTCGTTCTCATCCAGATAGCATCGGCATCTGAGATGCCAGAGCTAGAGTCTCAAATCTCAAAGGTAGCAACGAGGATAAATTCCAAGTACTCGACGCTCACTCACCAGCCGCTCGTGCTCTTGAGTCAAGACATCAGTTACTCTCAATTCTTGGCCTTAATGAGCGTGGCGGAGATTTTTATGGTAACAAGTCTGCGAGAGGGTATGAACTTGACAAGCCATGACTACATCCACTGCCAGGACGGCAAAGTGACACCGCAATACCATGGATCCCTGATCCTGAGCGAATTCACTGGCAGTGCTTCGATCTTTCATGGCCACGAATTTCTCGTCAACCCGTGGGACTACAGAGAGGTCGCAGATGCGATTAACAAGGCACTCGAAATGTCGCCTGAGCAGAAGCAACGCAACTGGGAGTTCCTGCTTGAGAGGAAAACACCTCACACAGCCGTAGCGTGGTGCAACTCGTTCAAAGCAGCCCTTGCCGAAGCTCACAGCGCGCAACTGTCCCGCGAACTCAGTCTTGTTGCAACACTCTCAGTACCCGCATTGAAAAAGTCATATGAGAAGGCGACCAAGCGACTCTTCTTTCTCGAAGATGAAGGAACCAGCCCTGTATCCGCCGAAACAACATCGCTGCTGGAAGCACTTCTCCGGGACCCAAAGAATCTGGTCTACGTTACAAGCAACAAAAGCCCGGAGCAGATCGAATCACAATTTGCAAGCTTCTCCGATAAAATCGGATACGTCGCCGAGAATGGTTGTTTCAAGCGGGAAATTGGAACAACTCAGTGGAAGCCGCTGGTGGATATGGAGAGGGCGAAGGACTGGAGGAACGGTATCCGTCGGGTTATCCAATACTACCAGGAAAGAACAGACGGTAGCGTCTTGGAAGAACGTCGCTGTCTGTTGAATTTCTGGTACAACAATGCTCAAGATCCCGAGATCGCCGCCCGGCAGGCCTCCGACCTTGCCGACATGATCAACGGCTCCCGCGGCAGCGAGGCCATCCGCGTCGTCCTCACAGATGGAGCAGTCAGCGTCGAACCCTTGGACGTCACAAAAGCAAAGGCCGCAGAGTCCATCCTGGAGCAGTTGCCGCAGGCCCCGGACTTCCTCTTCGTGGCCGGCGGCTCCCGCGGCGATGAGGCGCTCTTCCGCTGGGCCAACCGTCTGCATGGCGAAGATAAGATACCGGACGTGATCACAGTCACCGTGGGCTCTCACGCCACCGAGGCTACGGCGGTGCTTCCCACCGGCATGAGCATCGCGGACGTTGTCAACATCCTGACTTCCTCGAGTGTGAATGGTGCGAATGGTCATGAGCCTACTGTCAATGGTGACAATTCCGCCTCCCCTTCCTCATGAAGGCTGTGACACTCAAGACGCCATGACCCTAAATTAACCTTGTTGAATTTTCTGCTACGATACCTACGGCATGATGACATGATTTCCTACTCCTGCTTCCTTTGTACCTTAGCCTCACTTTTCATTCTTGGGAAAGAGGGATACACGTGGATCATAATGGTTAATCTGTCTAGACGCTTAGACAGACCAATATACATCCTTATTTCTTTCTTGCTCCTATACTAGTATCTCTTCCGTAAGAAAAAGCTGGTTGACTGCACTATAACCAGACAAGAGATAGGTCCACATTTGCGTACAATGAATACGTTAAGAAGCAACAAGCATGAAGTGGAATTGAGAGAAATCTTCATAGACCATCACTCCTCACGCTAAATTGTTGCTTCGAATGAAGAAACCTTAAACAAAACACATCTCGTCCCCTCCCTGAAATGTAAATACCCGTAGACCTCTGATGTGATGTCAGACAAAGCACAAGCTAAGAAAAACTGGGATCAGAGCAAATCGAAATTGTTCGGAATGAAAGAAGGTGAAATTACATCGCGCCATACAAAAAGATATGACAGTGCCCGACCCAGCAACCGAGATCCCAGCATGCGGCGGACAGACTCCCCAAGCCAGATTATAAAAAAAGGGCCGTAGGCAGACGAATGGAAGCAAGGAGGAGAATTGATAGATAAAAACATAAATCATTAGGGTTGTGCTATGAACACTCACATGATTGTGAAGTTGTGTCGACAATCAACCGAAAACTCAAGATCATCAATGCTTAACTAGACTATAAGTAATTGCTCATGGAAGGCTCAGCCACCAACGCCGGCATTATAAGATTCATCGTTCGGAGGTGAAGAGGAAGGGGGAGGATTAGAATTCGTGCCGGCGGAAATAAGAGTAGGGGCTACACGTCTCTTCTTCGGCTGTTGTACTTGCGGGACCGAGTTCTGGTCCTTTGGGTCCTCCTTCTCAGACTCGCTGATGTCTCTTTTACCCAACACACTGTTGCTCACAGAGTTCGTCCCACTTTGCGACACTGCAGACATTGGTGTCTGGGGTGGTGTAGTAAGCGGCAGAATCGGGGGTTGAGCCGAATTAGTGGCAGTGACGAGCGGCACTGATCCTAGAGTGGGTGTTGGATTGTTGACCACAGAAGTGCCCGATTGCTGGGCCGTTGCCTGTTGAACGGGAGATTGTGCAGTCATTGAACAGGTGGAGTTGGATCGTGCGGGACTTGCTGGAGGTACTTCGGCTGGCTGGACCGGTGTCGAGCTCAAAGAGGGTTGGCTCAACTTGAGGGGCGAGGGGATATTGGCCGAGGACGGTAGTGGTGCTTGATTTGCGGAAGTCGTGCCAGCGTTCGCAGGATGCTGAGCTGCTCCAACTGGAGCTGTATACGGCTGGCCCAACTCTCCGGGGGCAAATGACAACGTTGAGCAGAAGCCGTCAGAGGAGCTCATTATTAATGTTAAGCCATCATTCGACCTGATTTTGTCAGTGTTCCGAACGCATTGTAAATCAAATGTCAGAGAACTCACCATGTCAGATCTGTAAATGTCGCAAAATGCAAGTTGCTCACAACACACAAGGGAGTCTGTTGTTGCGTGTCGTACACCAAAACGGCGTCCTGCGTAGCCACCGCGTACACAATCCGGTATGGTAACGAGAAAACCGGACTCGGACTCTGGCCAGCAGAAGCTCCTTCACCCTCGGCGTTTTTGGACGCAGTGTTAGCTTTAGACAACTCGCTTGCAGAAGGAGTCGACGACGGAGGCTCCATGGAAGGCTTGTCAGGCGTCGCCTTCGTGGAAACTGCTGGTTCAGGAAGAGATGCAAAGGATTCTTCCCCAGAGGAGGTATCCAGGGTAATATGTCGGGCAGGCTGAGGAGCCTTGCGCAAAGTATACAGAATTGGAGAGCACTTAACCGCAACGGAGGGCTTCTTATGGCCCGGCAGATGAGAGACAGGGGGCTTGTTGAAGCCTGCACGGGTGTAGACGTACACTGTGTTAATGATCTCATCTGTGGTTTTTGTGGGATCTGTGGCAGGAACATGCGAGGTCTTGTACTGGCCAGCTGGAGTGAACAGTAGACTTCCATCAGGGGTGAATGTCAGTCGCCTGAAGAATGACGTGAAAGTCTCATTGGCATAGATGTTGGCGTTCTTGACTGTGAGACCACCCAGGACGTTTGGCGAGGCTACTTCTAGTGGCTTGACGGCGGGTAATGGCAGGGAAGGTGCCGGAGATGCAGAGCGGCGAATCGAGGGTGATGAGCCAAAGGAAGAACGGCGACTATGAGATACCGGAGGAGGATCCATAGGCAAATGATAGGTCAATGGTGTACCCGGAGTCGAGGTAGCGGGAGAAGCAATAGCAATGGAATTGCCTGTTGCGGGCTGGGACCGAATAGAAAGGTCAGGCGGAGCAGGGCTGCTGGACGAGATGCGTTTGGCTGGAAGATCCATCTTCAGGAACTTCCCGTGAGACGTTAATGTGAATTGGCCATCCTTTGTCTTCAAGCTGTAGATGTGGACAGATCGATCCGATGACTGGGTAGCAACAAATTCATTCAGAGGATCCCAAGCCACTCCTTGGACGTAGTGCGAATGCTCTGCAATCTGCCGAACCATTTGCCCTGAAAGTATTTGGTTTTAGCCTCATGATGGGGATACAAATTCTAGGAGAGGCGACGAGGATTTAACGCACCAGTCTGCGCATTGTATATTCGAGCAATGTTGTCCATGCTCCCTGTGATAATGAAGACCCCGTCTGGAGACCACGCAAGGTCATAAATCTCAGCACCGGAGGACCGGCACATATGCTTCACACGCCACGTTTCCTTGTCGTCCGACCGGTCCTCCCCTAACCCAGGCTGGGTCTGCAGCTCTGACGGGACCCAGAGAAGAACGTTCCCGTCATCTCCTGCAGATGCCAGCATCTCGCCTAGAGTCATACATCAGAAGACTGTTATCTCACTATAGACAAACCAGTGTATGTACCTTTCGGGCTGAAGCGGACCACATTGACGGCCTGTGTGTGTTTCACAAGTGTGCTTAGATAGGTCACCTTTCGATCTTCACCTGTAGACTCGACTTTCCATAGCTAGTGATTCGAGGTCAGAGTCGACGAAGGAAGCGAGAGAGGGAGGGAGGGAGGAGGAGATGTAGGTGGTTGGAAGCATACTCGAACATTGTTATCACTAGGTTAGACAAGAAACATTAGCAACGCCTCGACAGATGTATTGAGTAGGTCACCTAGACGTACTTTCCAGCCGTAGCAAGGCGCCCTTTACCATTGGGGTCGAAATGGACCGAGTAGATTGGGGCATTGTCATTGTGCCACGCGATGAGCAATGGCGTAGCCTTCATGGTGCGCACAAAAGCTCAATGCCCCAGAAAGTCTGCGTTAATGTGATCAGGAAGGATAGTGTTCGTAATGGGATAGATCAGGAGGTCGAAATTGTGGCAAGATGGGGATCTTCAAAGCTGGGAATCCGTAAGGGTGCGTGTAGTTAGTAAAGTTACAGTAGCAGCTACAGCGGAGAACGTGGAACAATAATCAGACGTCTCGTTATTGAGGAGCGAGGTGTTATAAGACAAATTCGGTAGCGAGTATTTGCTTATGAGGAGAACGGGAGAATGAAAGGACAATGAGGTAGCGTATCCGAAATCATCCAATAATGCAAATGAGGTCGAACACAATGGCAGCTGTCGTCGAGTGGTGATGTCGTTGGTTGATGATGGTTTGTTCGTCGGTTGCCCGTCGGTCCCTCGTGTCTCACGCCGACGCGCTCGGCGAATCGCAGCGCATCTTCCATTTTAACCAAATCGGGCTTTGCTTTACCTGTACAGTATGCGTAGATGTGCAACCAAGATTCTGCAAATATTGGCCCCTAGTAGGTCCTTCGACTTAATACTTCGATGCCATGATTAGTGTAGTCACGTTACGCGATAATCAGTCTCTATCGCTCCATATAAGCAGTCTACAATACTGTACATGGTGACATGCAATGCTCTCAGTAACGAAAGTATGTCGCCCTCTTCATCAGGTAAATACTACTGATAAATAGAGCCTGTCTGCTAGAGAAGTAACAAAACAAATTCATTCATTCCGCATCCCATGGTGAACGCCAAATGCTCGCTTCCGAAACCATAATGCTACGTCTTTCCACTGAGATAGATCCAACCATGCAAGAGTAATGATACAAGAAAACCTGTCGAAGTTCTGGACGATCATGTAACCCACTTACCAATCGTCTCTCCAAACCAACTGACAGCCCTCTCGCGCCGTTTCAAACGTGCATCCTCCTGTGTCTTCATGAACGGACTGGCCTCTTGCACATACATCTTCTGTTGTTCGATCTGCGCATTGTGTGCCCGGATCTCCAATTCCCTCTCATGGGGTGTAAGTTGCTCCAGTGGCTTCGACGGTTTGAATCCGGGCGGAATCTCCTCACCACCGGGGACCTCAAGACTACCCGGGGTATCGTGGGATTTGAGTTGCTGGGGCTTCGCCTGCGGGTTGAAGAGCGATGTGAGGGGCGGTGGTTCCTGACCAGCCGCCCGACACTCCGCGACTCGCTTCTCATAATCCAGCATCTGGTGGTATAGTTTATCCGCATGCATTTGAATCCGTTCTTCCTTTTCCTCGTCCCAATCGAATGAGGCGGCGTAGCCTAATGCCTGGAGGAATTTCTGAGCCGGTATCAGCATACATCGCCCACAAAAAAAGGTTCTGAAGCAGTAACTCCGGTACTTACAGATTGAGTGGTGAAGCAACGAGAGAACGTTGCGTTTTCCTCGGAGCAGGAAGTCACACGAGCCTGCAGTCGCTTCTGCCAATTACCGGTCTGGAAACATAAGGTCAAGGCTTCATGCTCCAATGCGCAATTTTCCATGGCTGCCCGGTGCACGGTGTCATTATGCTTCTTGTATTTCTCGATCACCCTTTCCGCGCCCTTCGATTCTGATCCGCCCTCTTCCTGAGGAGGCTTGTAGGTTTTCCACAGGTGAGCATATCGGCCATCGGGGAAGAGTGAAGCGGAGGGAACGGAAGGTTGCGAGGGCTCGCCAGCTTCGGCAGATGCGCTTGGCTTTGGTGCTTGTGTTTGAGAATCTATTGTCTTTGAAGGTTCTTGCGTAGAAGGAATCGATGTCGTAGGCACGTATTTTGCTGGAGCTTCATTTTCAAGGTACTCTCTGAGGCCCGGGTCAAGCCTCTTGACAGGATCATCTTGGTTCGAACTGCCCCAGAACCAACCCATTTTACTTAATATCGTCAGTAGTTGCGAATTATACAGTAGAGAAAAAAGACAATTGCAATTAGCTGAGGTCTGAGGAAAGATATCCAGCAGGACTGTGGAGATGTGGAAATGGAGCCGATAATTTGGGCCATCCTCAGTTTCCCGCCAAACCGTTTTGGGCCAATGTAGTCCCTCCATCGGTTCCATCCAGCTGCTCTTCATACAACAACAAAGCTCGATCTCGAGCTCCACGTATAGCAGCATATCGCGTCGATTTGCGCGTTGAATAGCGCCGCTTCTCCATCATGAATTCTAGTATGCTCTCAACGCTCACTCTAATAACTGATAGACTAATGCAATGGCGACAGATCGAGAGGAGCGGCTGCAAATGCGGCAGCGCGGAGCAGCGTACGCGCATCACTTTATCCCTCCGACTCGCCGTCCGATTGTTCAAGAAAGTAGGATGCTAACAGTACGATTGATATGGCAGAACGCGCAAAACAAAAGCAATTGACTTCGGATTCTCATTTGGACTTGCTTCGGCACCCGCAGAGTCCACGTCGGAACCCGCGTCGCAACCCGCCGAGACTGGCACTGTCACCGAACCTGCTGGCCCTCCACAAACTACATCAGCACCAGGAGAAACAGCACCGTCGCGGCTATCACCAGCACGGACACCTTCATCTCGGAATATAGGTTCTAGCCAGCGGACACCAGGAAGTGCGCGCAATGGCCTCCCCGAACGACCGTCGATGTTCGATATACCCTCGGATAGGGAGTTAGAACTTGGGCGCAGCAGCAAAAGGAGAAAGATTGGTAGGTTCTTGAGGACTCCTAATAATTTGGCTACAGTATCTTACAATGTGACATTTAAGAATCTCCCAGCAAGGTTGCTCAAACATCGGCCAGTTTCGACATTACAGCCCAAGAGACCAGTATAGCACAGCCCCAGCCGAACAGCCCGACAAAGAGCACACAAGAAGTAATTCGCGATGGACCACAGGCTGCGTCACCTACCACAAACGCCGTACAAGTATCCGAAGATGCAACTGAACCGGCCGTTCCGTCAATATCAAACAGCCTGGTCAATGACCAGACAACGGCGGATGAGAACCCGGAGTTTCATGGCGCAGCGGAAGAAACTACGGCGATGCGAAATGATGTACAACTACAAAACGGCTCGAATTCGCCGCCCCTGGACACCACGAGCGCCGAGCGCAGCAGACGAGAGTCAGAAACCCACGAACTCCCTCCACCAGAAGCTTTGGTGGTGCCGCAAGAAGTTTTCCCAGAGCAGGTGGTGGAAGAGCAGGCGGGGCCAGAGCAAGTGATGCTATCCCAAGCCGATGAAGACACACAACAGCCTACGCGAGCCCCAGAGGTACCAAATGAGCAGCACATCGCTACTGAAATGAAGGAGCTACAGCCTCAGCGCCAGAAGCGCGCAAGGGGCAGGCCACCAGCATCTAGCCGATCGCGTTCAGCTACTGGTGAAGGCTCAGAGCGAAATGAAGATGACCCGCCAGAGCAAACGGCGGCTCCAGATCATCCGAGCAAAAGACTTCGAGGCAAGAGTACAAGGAGTGCCCGAAGTACATCGAGTGCTCTTACCGATAACGTTGTTACCGATACCAACTTAGCCGACGGACAGGACGCGGTACAGCCTGAGACGGACGGTGGCGACACTGCAGCAAGGGGCCAGGATGTTGAGCAACCAGTCTCGCAGAAACCACACCAGAAGAAGGGCAAGCGTGCTGGACGCGCTGGCAAGGCCCAACCTGTGGAGACTGAGCAAGACAAATCTGATCAGTCGGGTGAGACAGTTCGGCAAGAGGGGCAACCACAGCCAGGCAGGGAGCAAAAGCCGGAGTCGGAGCCTGAGCCTGAGCCTGAGCTGCAACCTGAGGCCGAACCCGAACCCGAGACTGCAAACAGGACGGAATCTCCAACAGCCCAGGAAAATTCTTCACGACCTAAGAAACGTCGTGGAAGACCGTCGTTAGCATCGAGAAGGGATGACAGCACAGCAACGCAGCCTGAAGAGCGACAAGAGACACAGCAAGAGGCTGAAGAGGAGAATCCTAAACCTACGAGGAAGCGGACCAGACAACCTCGCGGTGAAACCGTACCCGTGACTGTCCACCGTCTGGTGAATGTCGCTTCGCTGGCACCAGGAGCTTCTCGTCCTGATTCACCAGTGGAAGATGGCGAATCGGCCGATGAACTGGCCACCAGGGGGAAGACTAAGCTCCCCAATAGAGGGGGTGTCAACCCAGCCGATGTACTGAGCCAGATTTGCCGAGAGACGCTGGAAAAGACCCTCACTACTCTTAAGAACGGAATAGCCAATGAGACAAACCCGGCACGACGTGCGGAATGGACCCGCAAGAAGAAAGCCGTCGAGGCTTTCGAAACAGAACTTGAGAGTCGGCTGTTTGAGTTGAGCGAGATGCTGGATAGTAACTTTGTTCTCGGCGTCCAGCTGAAGAAAGCAAAGCGGGAAATGATGGACTTGCGGGGCCGGCTCTACCAAGTCCGCAAAGAGAGAGAGGCGGTTGCTTTACGAATGGATGCAGTGCGCCGAAAGCATGCAGAGGAGGAAAGTGCGAGAATGGTAAGCTATGCGCCCCAGTTCAGAAGTCTATAGCTACATCTTCGATGTGTGTGTGATTGGTATCTGATGTTTCCAGGCCCGCATTTCTATCAACAATTCCTTGCATAGTCTCGAGCTTGCGGTCGAACGAAGCCAGAATCGTGCTTCTGCCAATGCCGACGACACAGAATCGGCTGATGCTTCCCCCACAGTTGGCCTGGAGTTTATGCTCCGTAGCGTTGCAGAAGCAGTGAGCTCTACTGCTCCCGGAGCTCAAGGTGGTCTCTTGGACCAGATCAAAAGCTTCAATGCACAATTAGAAGCAACAGCTCGCAAACTGGAGAGCTGACAGTGTATTTATTCTTGCTTGTTGATTACTATGACGCTCAATACCCTTTGATGACTTGCTGGATCGTGTGTTTCCAGATACTCCTGTGTGTGGTGACTGGCGAACATGACCATTTGATTTGCATTGGCTGCATATACTCGACCTGATATATCAAAGTACACTCTTGCCTTGCTTCTGTTTAGTCCAGACTGAACGTAACAGCGCCACTGACGCACAGCATACCCCTGTTGTAGCCTTGTAGGATCACTCTGTCTCTTTCCCTCATCAGATAGAGACCTAGCTGCCTGAGGCAAGAACTGAACCCGCCACTCAAACAAGGAAATCAATCGGATCGGATCAATTCAAATGACGAAATTTGTCCGAAGCATTTGTCAGCCAAATTCTGACCAATCAATGCCAACAATTTGCGGCATGGCTCTTGCGAATGTTGTTCCCCTTTTCTCGTTATGGAGCAGATTTCGCTGATTTTTTGGTTGCCGCGCTAAATTTCGCCGTCCTCGGGATTTACGGAGCAGATGTGATTTGAAATCAAGCAGTGGGGACAGCTTACAGCCTCTATAGTGTTGTCCTAGACACAATGCTTTCCAGAGGTTGTAGGATAAAAGCCGACGGCCTCCCGGTATTGTCTCGCCTCAATTAACACACTAGGCGAGCTATTGGCACTTCCTGAGTGAAATCAAGTTCCAAAACCCCAAGAAACCCACCATGTCGAAACTCTTCTCCCCCATCCAGGTCGGGCGCATGCAACTCGGCCACCGCCTGGCCATGGCCCCCATGACCCGATTCCGCGCGGACGACGACCACGTCCCCCTCCCCATGGTCAAGGACCACTACGAGCAACGCGCCGCCGTCCCCGGCACCCTCCTCATCACCGAAGCCACCCTCGTCTCCCCGCGCGCAGGCAGCTACCCCAACGTCCCGGGGATCTGGAGCGAGGCGCAGATCGCGCAGTGGCGCCAGGTGACCGACGCCGTGCACGCCAAGGGCTCGTACATCTACATGCAGCTGTGGGGTCTAGGCCGCGTCGCGAACCCGGAGACCCTGAAGAAAGAAGGCGGTTTCGACCTCGTGTCTAGCAGCGACGTCCCCACGGACGAGACGGCGCCCGCGCCGCGGGCCCTCACCGAGGAGGAAATCCATGCCTTCATTGCGGATTATGCGCAGGCGGCGCGGAACGCCATCGCCGCGGGCTTTGACGGCGTCGAGATCCACGGCGCGAACGGATACCTCATCGACCAGTTCACCCAGGACACGGCGAACAAGCGCACGGATGCCTGGGGCGGGAGTGTGGAGAAGCGCGCGCGCTTCGCGCTCGAGGTGATCCGCGCCGTCGTGCAGGCTGTTGGTGCGGACCGCACGGGGATCCGGTTCAGCCCCTGGAGTACCTTCCAGGGGATGCGGATGGCTGACCCGGTGCCGCAGTTCAGCTACCTGGCGCGGAAGACGGCGGAGTCGAAGCTGGCGTATGTGCATCTCGTCGAGTCGCGGATTTCGGGCAACGCGGACGCCGAGTCGACGGATCAGCTGGATTTCTTCCTCGAGGCGTATGGCCGTGCCAGTCCGGTGATTATTGCTGGTGGCTACAAGGCTGATTCCGCCCGGGAGGCGGTCGAGTCGCACTACAAGGATTACGACGTGGTGATTGGTGTTGGTCGTCCCTGGACATCTAACCCTGACCTGCCTTTCAAGTTCAAGGCCGGTATCCCTCTTCGGCCGTACGAGAGAGAGGTCTTCTATATGCCCAAGGATCCGAAGGGTTACATTGACTACGAGTTCAGCGAGGAGTTCAAGGCCACGCTGGTTGCGGCTTGAATCTGATGTCGCCTTTCCCATTTTCTCTGCTCATCGGTGTTTTCTAAAAAGATACCAAGCGCTTTGTCCTGTTGATCATGATTGATGACTGCATTGCATATCGCACAACATGGCGTGTATATAGGCTATAGAATTGACCTTCAATGATAGACCGTTGAGTTCTCAGTGCTTGTACTGTAGTCGAAGCTGTCAGAACCATGCTGTACCGCAGATGAGACGGACTCACCCTAAAATCTGGATTCTCCATGTCCGTTAGATCTAAAAAGCCAGAGTTCTCCAGGTGCTGTCGCTGGCCCTTCAAGTCCCGACGCCGATTCTCATACATATAGTAGCATTTCAACAGCACCGCAAAAACAATTGCTACCGAGACTGTCGCCACAATCGCAATCTTTGCCGGTATGTAGTCCGGCTCATCTTCCGTGCGGAATGTCAACGGACCCAGAATATTCCCGAGACAGAACGACATCAGCACGATCGCGTTCATGGTTACTTTCTTGGTGTGGCCTGCGACATTAGCACCAGCGATGGAGTACATCAACGGCAGAGCGGCCCCGATACAGTTGGTCAAGTAGTTCCCAGCTAGCTCGGCGGCTTTCATTCCATCATGGGAGAATGCCATCAAGCAGCCTCCGAGGAGCCCGCAGGCGAGGATCCCTATAAGACTCAGGCTTCGCTGATCAAAGCGACCGGCGAGATATGTGCCTGTCAGAATGCTGATCACGCTGACCACGCCGCCGGGGATGGTCAGTAGCTCGGTTTCCTTGACGGTGAAGCCGAAGCTTTTGATGATCAGCGCGGAGAAGCTGCTGATGGCGGCGTTGGAGATGTTCATTGCGGTCACGATCACGGCAATGAAGTAGGTCTGGGGGTCCTTGAATACCTCTGCGAATTGATTCATTTTGAAATGCTTGTTCTCAATACCTGTCCCGTTCTCCCGAAGACGCTCAATCGCCAGAAGTTTCTCCTCGTGGGTCAGCCGGGAAGCCATTGGATTGTCTGGGAGGAATATGACGACGCATATTCCCACGGCGATGGTGATCAGTCCAAAGATGAGGAACATGATCTGCCAGGATCGGAACCGGTCACCGGTATAGAAGAGGAGTCCATATGCAACGAGAGCTCCAACGATGGTGGCTGTTCCAGTACCTAAATACCAGAAACCTATCCGCTTGGGCTGTTCTGTGAGGGTTAGTAACGTCCTCAATGATGAGAGGTACACCTTACCATTCCTCTTGTACCACATGGAAGTAATCAAGATCAGTCTGGCACTTGTCAGAATGTTCTCAGACATTGAGATTGCAGGGGTAAGCAACATACGCCGGAGCAACTGCGCTTTCAAAACACCCTAGCAGGACACGGAGGACAATGAGCCCAGCATAATTTTTCGCAGCACAGTTCAAGGTAGTTAGGAGTCCCCATAACGTTACTACAGTCTGTAAGCTCCGCACAACATGCCTTACTGGCGAGAGCTCCTACCATTGACGCCAAGGTATTTCGCAGTAGGCAAACGTTGCATGAGATATCCTGTTGGAAACTCGAAGAACAGGTAAGAGACGTAAAATGCTAAGGCCAGATTCGAGAACTGGTCCGTCTGCATGCCGGTATCCTTGAGCAAACCCATGACAGAGGCATAATTGACTTGAGGTAGCGTGAGTCGCTGCAGAAATCAAGAACCGCTCGCGAGGTCTTACTTACTCAGAATCTTGTCCTGATACTGGAGAAAATAAATTGCCCACATAAGTGGGACGATCATCCAGTCGATTTTTCGAACAAGCTTCTCTTCATCGATCTCGGTAAGTGTCGCCGTTCCTTCTGAGACAAGGAAATCTAAGGCTGCGTCTGCCTCGGTTGAAGCTGCAGGGCTGAACTTCTTTGCTTCGATATCCATGCTTTAGTGGCCGTTCTGTGGTCTTCTTCGGCTCAAGTCGCCTGTTTCAGGAACTGGGCGCAAAACACTATTGTTGTAGCCAGAGTTCTGAAGAAAGGGCTTGACATGATGCTCTTGCTACTCTTCTTATACAGCTGGCTTTCGCTGCATTTGCGATGCCCATGTTATCAGTGCGGTCGCAGACAGTATGACTCGCATCAATGACCTTCCGAAAATGGATAATTGAAGACTGATAAGTGAGAGAGCAGCCGCAATGATAGAGACATGTTGATATCAACGCTTCTCCAACTGACAGGACTTCGTCCAATCGAACTTCCCTCGAGGAGTGAGATTATGTTGAGTCAGCGACAGAGAACATGATAACGCGGAGAAGCGTCTGCTGGATAGATACTCCAACTCTGGCGATCCGTCCGAAAGAAGCAGGTGATAATACTCCTCCATCGCACTGGAGATATCACTGATAAAGACGATATCGATCCCCGCGTGCGGAGAGATTTTAACAAACACCATGATGATAGGACTTGCATCATCAATGTGATTCATCAGAAACTTTTCATCAGTCATTTTGTTAGAGTCTGGTAGTCTCGATGGAGGATCATGAGACGAGTCCCTTGGCAGTGAGCTGTCACTCATAGCAGACAATGCTTTAGACAAGGGTCAGAGGCTTTTAGTCGTTCAAAAAGCTCCATGGTCCAACCTCCCCTAGTGAGGAAACTGCTGTGCAGTGAGAAGCCGAGAGCACTCTCAGATTATGTGGCCATTAGTATCACAATAGCAGCTGAGGTTAGTTGGTATGAGCATTCGGCTCCAAGATCACAAGATATGCCATTGAATATGGTCTCTCGGCCAGTTCAAGTACAAGAAATTGATCATTTCTCAATTCATCTCGCGAGAAAATCTTGGATCACTCTACATGGGCTCCTCACCCAGGCAACTGCTCTTCTCCTTACAGTACGCTCAACTGATCGAAGACGATATGAGCGGTGACTGTCCCCATGATCTGTTGAGACGCAGTGATAATTCCATAGAACGAATGCCACACAGTAAAGTGCACTATTGATGACTATTGATGTCGGGTAGGATTCTGAAGATAAACTCAACATGATTTCGATAGTTCGAGCTACCACCCCATCCGGATCGTGATTGACCGACTGACCGCTTCTTCCTTCCTGTAAAATTCACCAAATCGGCGACTCTAGCTTGGTCATCCTATGTTCTTTCGATGTCGATCATCAGCTCGGTATCAATCATTGATCGACCTTCTAGATACATCATCGCATGGATGATGGGAAAGCGAGAT